CTGCGGCGCGGCGCGGGCCGGAGCCGGCGCGGGACGATGCTGCGGCTGGGGTCGCTGAAGTTGGGGCGGTTGTACCGCTACGTGAAGCTGGCGGTGCTGGGCAGCCTGGCGGCGGCGCTGGTGCTGAACACGCACTCGCTGCTGGCCTCGCTGCAGCGCAACGAGCTGGCGGAGCGGCGCTTCCTGCAGCTCAATAAGTGCCCGGCCTGCTGGGGCACCAGCTGGTGCCGCAAGTTCCTCAACGGGCAGCTGCGCCTCGAGAGCTGGGGCCGCCTGCGCCTGCTGGACGTCTTCAACGTGAAGAACGTGTACTTCGCGCGCTACGGGGAGCCCCGCGAGGGCAGCCGCCGCGTCGTGCTCAAGCGCCTCGGCTCCGCTCAGGAGCTGGCCGACATCGACGCCAAGATCTGCCGCCGCGCCACCGGCAGGGGCCGCTGCGACCTGCTGCAGGCCCTGCCCGCCACTGAGTTCGCCAGCCTCAACGGCGACGTGCGCCTCCTCACCCCCGCTGCCGTGGAGGGCTGGTCGGACCTGGTGCACTGCCCCTCGCAGCGCCTGCTCGACCGCCTGGTCCGCCGCTACGCCGAGACCAAGGACTCGGGCAGCTTCCTGCTGCGCAACCTCAAGGACGCGGAGCGCATGCAGCTGCTGCTCACCCTCGCCTTCAACCCCGAGCCGCTCGTGCTGCAGGTAGCGGCACTCCCCCTGCTCTCCTTGGTGCTGCACGGGCCTCCCGCGGGGCAGGCCTGGGCCTCGCCCGCGGCCCCTTGGGGGTGGTGCTGCCGGGGCGGGGCGGGGCGGCCGTGGAAACCAAAGTGTCCTGGGAACATAAGTCCTCGCGCGCGGGAGGCCCGTCTGCGCGGCGCAGGGAGAGGCGTGTGCCTCCGAGCGGCAGCGGTGAGGGCTGCGCAGGGCTTTGCGAGTGTGGCACCGCTCCCGTGGCCGCACACTCTGCTGTGCTTGACCCCTGCTGCCAGGATGCTGTTGTCTTGCTGTCTCGGTGGAGAGACTTTTACTCTTCGGCCCTCATCGGGAGCGGGGTGGGGGGAAGCTGTTCTGCAGGTAGCAGGCTTGGCTACACTGTGTTTGAAGCAACAAAAGCTTTCTGGTAGATGTGCTCCTCTTTTTCCCTGTTTTGAATATGACGTTTTAATACTGCCCGCTACTAAGAGCTAGTTAATTGTTTTGCCCAGTGATTTTTCTTTCTTTCTCCCAAGTCAAGTTCAGCACATCATGGACAGGGGCTATTGTTTTAATGGTATCATTTTTCCATGTAATTAAACTGGCTCCTGTTGGAGCTCGGTGCCAACATTGTACTGGTGTGAAAGCTCATTGAAGAGCCAATAAAGCTCTTTGGGTAAGACATTTTGGGTAAAATGCTTAGATAGTCATATTTTGCAGTCTAAATGTGTACCCACAGAGTAGGGAGAAGAATTCCCTTTTATAACAGCTCTTTGCTTTTCTTATGTTGTCTAAGTAAGAATAGATATTTCTTTAGATGTTTGTCCTTTTGACTTGGGTGACAGTGCTTTTTACTAGAAACCTTGGGTTTTAAACATTAGGTGTGTATATGCAGAACATTGCTGGTCTTTGTTATGTGGTTCTAGTCAGCTACCTTTGTCCTGAATAAATATTTAAACTTGGAAGTTTATTCCCTTTTTTACATTTTTGCTGTCATCACCGTTTATGAAATGCCAAGTAGGTGCTTAGTGTGTGATCTGTAGAAAATTGCTGGATTAAGGCTTGGTCCAGTCAGTCTTTGTTTTGGTCTTATCATCCGTGAACCCCATGGATACTTGAAGGAGGCAGTCTAAATGTATCTGAACATACTATTGTAGAATTACGATTATAAACATAAATCTGTTCATATTGTATCATAGTTCTCTAGATGTTTGGCCAAAACACCTCAAACCAATTGCCACATAGTTAATTGCTGTGGACTTTAATGTCCAGTGAATTTAATGTCTGGTGACTCCTGTCTAGAACAGTCATTTAGGAATATGTGCTTGTGTTTAATATATTTAAAGAGCTGCTTTCAACTTGAACAGTAGTTACATTTTTTAATAGTTTAATTTTTTTGTTTTAAATGCTAGACCACTTGCCCTTCAGCCCCCAGTCAATTTTTGTGATGTTGTAAATTTTTTTTTTTAAAATTCAAGATGATTTTCCTTCCTCCTTAATGTAAAAACACTCCATGTAAAGAACTTACTGATCTTTGTGGTACAAAAGATGAGGCACACTCTGTAGTCAAATGAATCCAGTAAATAAACCAAAAAATTACATTTCTCTGAGATTTAAATTATGCAAGAGGCAAGGTTTTTTTGTGATATCTTTTACTGGACCAACCATACAGTTGAGACGGGTTTGATAAGCTTTTGGGTATGCTCTGCCCTTCCAGACCTGAGCAAGGATAGTGTACATCCAAAAGCTTACCTAGATCTGGAGGGGCAGTGCATACCTGAAATCTTGTCAAAGACCTCTCCGCCAGCTGTCTGCCAATAAAAGGTACCACAAAATAACAAAAAAAACCCTTTCCTATTGTAAATATCCCGGACCCAATAAAAGGTATCGCATACACAAAAAACCAAACAAAACACATTTCGTCTTGTAAATATCCTGGACCATCATGGCTGCAATAACACTCTGACCTTATTTTTAATTATAGGAATTACAGACGTAAATTGTAATAGTAGCTTAACATACAAAACAATTATTTTGACTTTTGCTACTTTGTAGGTTTAGCTGTGAATGTAAATCCTAAACATTTACTAATAAAAGTAAATCTGTAGCTTGGTAATTTGATGTTGGTTTTGAAAATGGAGAGAGGTGAATTGCCTAACTTGTAAAATTAAGACGTGCACTACAGAAAAAGGTGATATCTTCACTGCTGGCTATCAGTTTTAATTTCTTCCTCCACATTGCCATAAATTAATAACTACCTTGATGAAAATTCAGGCCAGGTGTTGTTTGAACCAGGTGCGTCCAAATGTATCTGAATTTTAACTCGGGTAATCCTGACAAACAAAAGCATATTTGCAGACCAAATCTAAAATGATGAAAGTTGTTAAATCATAGTAAAGCTAATACAAACTAAAAAAAAATAGTAACTTGAGTTTTGGATTAATTTTGTCTCATGTTATTTTATAAACAGTAGAGTCTATTAATAGAGGGTTGCCTGCTGTAGACTATAAGAGTAAGTGGGACTGGCTGATGAACATAATCTGTATCTCTTCCCTTCTTTCTTCCTCAGTTGCCTAGATCTTGTTTGAAATCTGAAGACCCATTTCCTTTACGTTGTAACTTTTAAATCCTGTAATATTATATAATATATTAAATATATCCATAATTTTCTTTTGGTTTTAAAAAATTCCCAAAAATAAAGCGGCTTGGTCAATATAGAGTTGGACAAACAGGTTCTTTGCTGCCATCCCCCGCCCCCCCAGCGTATTATTTTTGTTAGCTGGTGGCAACTTATGTTTTCCTGTGGATTAGGTGTGTAAGTAAATATTGAATTCCCTGTTATAATTGTAATTTAAAGGATGACTGAAAAAGATAGTGTAAGCTTAGAGTTGTTTTAAGAGTTCCTACTTTGTTTCATTTATGTTAAACAGTCAGTAAATGAATGTAGAGCTTTTACAGAACTAAACCTGCATGTAAAAAGCATACTTGCTTCATTGTCTTAGAGAGACAAGGAATGAAGTCATTCCACTGCAGTGAGGAGTGAGATATTTTGAAATATAGTTTTGTTTTAATTTGGAATGGGAAAAAATAAAAACTTTCAGAAAGGCAGAGGAGCCTTAGCCTGCTGATGGTCTCTGCTTGGCTGTCTCAAACTGGATGTTGGACCTTCAACTATGAAAGAGCTTCAGGGATGGGAGCTGGTGCTCCTTGGTTCCTTGACATCCTGTGCCAAGAGCCTCAACATTTGACAACTATAGCTTCTTGTCGCTTTGTTGCCTGTTAGGTTGCCTGGTGCAATGTAGCCTGGGAACTGTGGAGGCATTGAGGAGTTTGGGACTTAAGCCTACCATGTAACTCCATATGAGAATATCAGGTGAGCTCTTGAGCTGAGTGGGTGGGCTCAAAGGAAACTAAGGTTCTGTTAGGAATCTGTCTACTTGGGTTCTATTAAAGCTCTGTCATAATTGGAATGGCCTCTGTAAAATGTTTTCAGTTTAAGTTAATTAGTATTCTCTGGAATATGTTTTCTTGGAGAGTTTCAGACCTGCTTGACTTCTAATAGCATTAAGGCTAGGGACAGACATTCAAAAAGCCTGAGCCTGAATTAGTTCTATCTTTGCAGGTTAGTCTAACATGGCTAGGCTGAACTGGTTTCAGACCAGAGACATCCTCTCTGGACTGACGAAATTCAGGCACATGCCTGCAGTGGTGCAGGCTAAAAGCCAGGGGGATGCTAGAGCCTCCCCCCTTCCCTTCTTCAGGGAGCTGAGCAGAGGGGGGTGTGGCTAGGCCCCCGTAAGACTCTCATTGGGGAGTGTCGCCAGACCCAGGCTAGCACTCTGAGGCAAATGGTGGGGGGTAGGGGTGTGCAGTGCACGCATCTGTTCACGATAATGGAGCTTTTCAGTCTCCCTGCCTGCTTTGTCTTACTGTCTGCAAGAAACTGACAGGCAAGCAAGCCAGCTGGGGGCTGATGGTGATAATGGTCTTTATCACCAGCTTGACAAAACAATGGTTTCTCTCCATTGCTTCAGACTTCTTAAACAGCAACAGCTGACCTGTTGATTGGCTCCAAACAGCCCTAAGCAGTCACTGTTCTGTCTGTCTGTCTCAGTGAAATTGGAGAGACATGCACAGAGACACCTCTTGGCATTAGCTAGCATACCACATGCCTTGGGTCTGTGCTGTGGGAGCTGGGGGGATTTCCTGCTTGAGCAGCGAGGGTGGGGTAGGGTGGGGGAAGCCAGGCAGACCCTGCTGTGTCTGTAGTCTCTGCTGGAGCCCTACACAGCATTAGCTAGCATACCACATGCTGGGTATGGTCTGTGCTGTGGCAGAGAGGAGGAAGGGGGATCCCTGCTTAAGCAGCGAGTGGTGAAGGGGAAGGGGGCATGGGGAAGCCAGCAGACCCTGATGTGCCTGCAAGTCTCTGCTGGAGCTCTGGCCAGGGAGCAGAGGGGAGGAGCCAGCCCTGCTGTGGAGCAGAGAGCTCAGCCCAGCCCAGACAGCATGCCGGGATGCTGGGGACTCTGATTTAACTTAAACCAGTAGGGGGTCTGGGACAGACATTGCATAAACAGGTTTGACCCAAATCAGTTAAGTCTGATATTACCTTCAGCCAGGTTTATCTCAAATTGGTTTCAGCCATTTTGAAACTGGTTTATATGCACTCAGCATCTGCTCTGTTACCAGTTTAAATCAGTTTCTGATCACTTAAACCGGTTTATGTGTAATGTCTGTCCTAGCCCAAAAGCTCATAAAATTAAGTCATTTTTCATGGCCAAATAAATAAATAATCTTAACTACCTACTTTTTTGGGAGAAGTTTTGGAACATAACAGATGTGTTTCATTAAATCAAAAACCATGCAGACTGCACCCTTCACTTTTTGATCAGCGCAGTTATTTGAGGAACAGTGGAACTGCTTGGAAATGCAAACAACAAATGTGTAGTGACATCAACATGTAGTGTGTGAGTTCGTGCTGAATTATATAAGGACTGAATTAA